ACTCGTGTGCCAGCTGACACCCCCGGAACAAGCCCCTCCAATGTGCCTCGTACGAGTTCGCGTCGTCCGACTACGAAGTCTCCGAGTTCTAACGGTCCGCCGCTTCCCACGGCGCCTGTGTCACCGACGGACGACAATGGCAATAGTCCCTACCCGACTCGTGTGCCAACTCCGAACAGTCCGCCGCTTCCCACGGCCCCTGTGCCGTCGACGAGCTCACCAATGGACGACGATGGCATCGACTGCGACGACGATGACAATAGTGACAATGGTGACAATGGTGACAATGGTGACAATGGTGACAATGGTGACAATGGTGACAATGGTGACGACGACATGGACTGCGACGACGATGACAATAGTGGCGATGACAATAGTGGCGATGACAATAGTGGCGATGACGACGACGGGTTGGATTGCGACGACGATGATGTCCCAGTCACGAACTCGCCTAATTAAACGTTATATTTGTGTGATCAATGCGATCGAATGTATGCAGGTGGTGTACATGTTTTGAACATAAGTCAGTACGATATGCCTTTTACACCGGTTCATGTAGAAACTGCGGGGGGGGGTTCGTAGCTTTTGCAGGGTGTACAAACTAACTTACAATCTCTTTTCCTTTCTCCATCAACAACAAGCATGCTACAACTACTTGCCGTGGTGTGGTGGTGCGCCGTCGCCTCGTCTGTGGCCACCGACGACTTGTACGAAGTCGTGCCAGACTTCACCGGGGGCTTTGGCTGCGACGGACCGCTGCAGAACCTTGACTTTTTTGGCAACGATCTGTTTCAGTTCAAAGGCGACGGTGACGCGTGCAAGAAAGCGTGTAACGACACCCCGGCCTGTGGCGCGTTCACGTTGGCGTACGGCCAGTGTTTTATCAAGTCGGACGTCGGCTCCAAAGTTTCGTCGACTCGCGGATGCAAGTCGTATATCTGCTACCGTCAACGTTAAGACGGAACCCCGACCAAGAGAGTGTATCCCCCCCTTCCCCTCAACGACTTGGTGTGGCATTTGCTCCGAGTGTTCGAATGGGGGGGGGGTCATACGAGAGCGCTATTTGAACCACCATAGCCCCCCCCCTTTTTCACTTTTTCAACCCATCGAAGTACATAGATAATCAGAGCCTTTGCAAGTGGTTGCGTCTGTCTACATATACGCACAGTGGGGCGATTCAGAATCTATGGTGCTCTGTGCTACTACTGTACTAGTAGTTGTAAACAAAGTCGACAAACAGCACATCCATCATGCATAGACAAGTGATTTTTGCCGCGATTCGGCCCTCCAACACGTGTACTTCCCGTCAAAGTCTCCAGTAGTGGCCTACTGTATTATATTACTACGACGCACTATCCCTATGCTCGCATCGTTCGAAGGTACGAATTGAGCGACTCCAAGTATTGATCGTGCCGCTGGTGATGCTTGGGGCCACACACGGCGAGCGCGTGCTCCCTAAACTTGCGCTGCATCGAGTCTTCGTCCAGCCCATGCAAGTCGAGGCCCCAGAAGCCCCTGGCCTCTTCGTCCAGGGGCGTCTGCCCCCCCTTTGAGAAACTCGACGACACGACGAACAGCATGCGGATCTTGGTCACGGACGGCGCGATGGCCTGCAGAATGTACCACACGTGGCGGTTGCGCTGCAACTTGATCGTAGGGGCGGCCTCATCTTCGTGCATTTGCTGGCCCACGTACACGATGCGGTTGCCTTCGACGAACTCGCGGCTGAGAAAGTTGCTCTGTTCGTACGCTCCTTCTAGGGTTTGATGTCGGATGGCGCTGTGTGGCGTGTCGTGGCAGATCTACGAGTCACGATATCGTCAAGAAATCTTCGGGGGGGGGGGCGCGAAGGAGATGGGAGATTGATCGCTTACGTGAAGGCGGGCGTAGTTGATCATAAACTGCCAAATGTCGGCTTGCATCACGCCCCGTAGCTCGTCGAGTGAGTTCTGCATAAACAGTTCGTGCCGACGGATGAACTGGTAGCACCCGCTGTCGTCGAACACGACGTTCAGGTCGTCTTCGGTGACGGTAGAGAACATCGATGGGAACCCGTATCGCTGCTGGACGCTGTCCAGATTGTGGTATAGTTGCTGCGTGATCCATTCCATACCGAGTTTGCGGGATTCGGGGTGTTGCAGCAGTGTAAAATTGCGCCACGTCGACTTGACATGGCTTGGAGACACCTACGTCGTCCGCCCTCGTGAGTATGGTAGATGGAGACGAAGATGACAAACCGAAAGGGTGGCGTGAACCCAGCGCTTCATGTCGTGGAGGAGTGTGCGAACATGGCGCACTTGCTGGTCCAGCCGACTGTTCTCGACTTGCGCGAGGTCGTGCTCTTCACGCATGGTCAACGCAATGTCCTCCCATGACAGCATGAGACTACCCCTTCGCTTCGCTCGAAGCAATATCGCTTCCAAGTCCGCGATGCGGTTGCGCAATTGCACCCGCAGCGCCCGTTCCTGCTGTCGGTACTTGCCCTGCTTCTCGCGTTGGTACATGTTCTTTTGGAGCTTGATGTCTGCTGCCTCCAGCAAGTCCGTGTTGAGGTCGTCCATGAACTCGTCCTCCAAGTGCACGGTTGCTACGTCGCTGCTGGTGGTCATGAGTGTACACCTGCTTCCTCCTTCTCGAGGTTGTGGATGGTCGCAATCCCATGAACCCATCTGGTTTGGATGATGTTGGGTTCGTTGTTTACCGATTCGCCCATACAAAACCCAAGTGAACGTCGTACGTCAAATCTTCCAATTGATTTTTAGCACGGACAAGACACCAAGTGTGGACTCGTTAATGCAAGTTAACGTTATCACATACCTCCATCGTCCTGCCACGGCATCGATCATCATCCTTCACGCGAGTGTTGTAGGAAGTCTGACAGTCCGGGCGCTACTGCGGGGAAGTCGACACAAGCAGCAAAATGGTAGCCCATTTCACAGCGCAGCGCAGGTTTGGTCATCCTTTCAAGTATGTACTGTATCGCAGCCTGTGGCATTGGCCGTTGTTGAGTCATCTATATAACGGGCTACACGACTCGCCAGGTTGCTCGCTCAAGGCCATTCATGCACATGTGACTGTAAAACTCTCCCAAACGCTAAAACTGGAATTCGATGGAAATGGCATATCCGGATCTCCACAAATTGTCCGTATCGTGGTGGAGCAAATGCTGTATATTTATATCCGCTGTAATGTGCTGAATATTTCCCCCCCAAGCTACTGAATTATCGCAACGATGTCGCATGTGCGAAGTCGTTTCTCTCACCTGGTTGTTGTCGTCAGGGCGGCGGTGGGATACACACACAAGGGAGGGGGGGGGGGGTGCACCACCATGCGATGACCCTTCCGGATGAACATGCAAACCTCATCAGCCGAGCCTTCCTAGGCCTTTCCAGATGAACATATTTTTTGGATGAATGTACGCACTCGGGAGGTTGGTCGCACATTTTCATGGGTCCTCATCACACGTGCATGCGCAACTTGTACGTGAATTCGCAGAGCTTTACAACCCGAGCGTATTTGGCGCTGCCAGACGAAGTCAAATTCTGGGACTGCGAATTGAGTGGTACCCCAGAGGTGGAGGACCAGTTCAAGCGACACGCGTCCGCCGTGGCGTGGCGGCAGTACAACGCCGGCAACCAAACGCTCCACAGCTCCGTGTTTGGGCTGCTGGGGCGATGAAATGTGTAATCACTCGACCACCGCCGCCATTGTACTATGTAACAATGAAGTATTATTTATTGCCTATCCAAAGCGAAAACTACTGTATAACCACTTGTGGTTCAAGCTGCTAGGTAATGCCGCCAGCCATGCTGCTCTTACGAACGAGGTCATCAGCACCGTATCTAATGTTATACTACCGGTACTGTAGAAAACTGTAGCCAAATTTTTTGGACTATTGAATGAGTTATGGGCAAATGTATTTGAGAATGTCCTAGCCAATGAAATTAATCTTTTGAGATGTTTGAACCAATCAACGATCATCACTGTTTGGCCCACTGGTTTGGCCCAACCAAAATGTACAGTTTTAACAGTAAATGTGTACTTCGAGGTAACCAATATACCTACCGGTAGTATTGAAAAAGCTTAAAATCTGACAATAATCGATTCCAAATGAACTGTCAAGGCCAAATTATTTCATAATACAGTACAGCAGCTTACTCCTTCTTAATATCCAATCAGAGTCCATCACACCTTGTTTCTTCCACACGATTGGCTATAACACTTTTGAACGGTTTGGACACTTGAATTTTGTAGAGCTTTGTGTGATGCTGCATAGTGCACAGATGAGTTCACTCCGACTATTTCCAATGTGGTCCTCCCCTTACAGCTAACATTACGTTGTGCGCTCGGTTGGGTCGCAATGCCGTGGCTGCTCAACTGCCATCACAGAAGTAGAATATATCGCAACAGGATGGGATGAATCTACACAGCGAATTTCGTGATTTCACGGCATCTGATTGGACAAATTGGACATTTTATAATTCGCATGGTGAGCGGCATTTTGGATTTTGGCGTGAATTCCTAAAAAACGACGCGTCGTTCGTAAATCGATTCGATTGGCGCTTTCAAAATTGCCACGATTTGATTGGGTCAAACGACAGAACAGGCATTTCTAGGACAAGCAGATCGCACACCAAGCGCCAAGACCGATGAGCACCATCGAGTCGGCACTCTCACAGCACACAAGTCCGAACACAGTCATGCACTGTCTGCACGGCTACTTCTTCCTGGGGATGAAGCGTTGACAGCTTGCTGCTGTGTACGGAAAGAACGAGCAAACCATTTCGAACTGGATCACCAAGTACGATGCAACCGGGTGCTTCTCGCGCAAAGTATCCGTGGTCGCCTTGCGAGTTGTCGATGGAACGTCTGCGACGATCGCGCGTTCCAGGCTGGACTGTCGTCTGCGGTCATGACTCGTCGAATGCTGGTTGAAGAATGGCGCGCAAAATGGACGTTCGATAGTACTATTAATAGTATGGGGCATGTCAAAAGTCTTTAGCCAATCACACTGAGCTTTCGTAAATTGAGCCAATCAGACTCGTTCACAAACCGAAGATACGGTAGCGCCCCCACCCAAAATTTGTATCAAATCGACAATATGAAAAATAAAGATCAACAATACAATTGCACAATACTTACTGTAGTACAAAGTTCAGTAATGTTACGAAGAATCGATCGATAGATTTGGCGAATCAACACAAAAGTCCATATTTTGGATAAAAGGACAATAATAGATAACGTTACTTCGAAGCATTGTGAATTCGCTATAAACTTCCTAAATTCGTGTGGTTTGTCTAATCAATATTTAATCACGCTGGAGTTATGATTGGTTGAATATACTTGTCTTTTCTGTAAGAGCCAATCAAATCTACTCAAGTTTGGATTAGCCAATAGCGTCGATTCGTGATTCGATTCAGCTGCGAGATTCGATTCGACAGGGTCTGGAAATTTGTACCGAATATACCACAATACTATTATATTAATACGTGTACTGATAGAATGAGAACTGCTCTTCCAGTCCAGTACTGTAACGTTACAGTATTGAAGGTAAAAATTAGTAAACTATTTCTGTGAGAAACCAATAATATTCGAAAACGTCTTATCTCGATTTATATATGTCAAATTTGGTAGCCAAACACACAAAAGCTGTCATTTGAAACGTTGTCATAATATTTCTGAAAAGTTGCGAGCTAGCCAGAGTGGCCCATAACTTACCGGTACTAACCTCACATTCTGAGAGGGTGAACGAATCTTCTAGATACTTCCTCCAATTGTATTGGCCACAATTACGTTATTCTCACGATTTCATTGGCTATAAATTCATCCCTTGCCTGATTTTCCAAAATTCCACTGTTACGTTACAAGCAAACACACAGTGGCAAGAGGAGGAGTGACACGTCGTCTGATGACCAAAAAGCGTCTAGTACTCTAGTTTATCATACAAACGTCAAGTATGATGACAAATGATCGTGAAAACAATGAAGGAGAAGTGATATTTAAACTTGATAATTGTATACCATTGCAACCGTCCGAATTGTAAACTCGATGTAAAAGGCATCCGACTGTTAAGTGGTTGCGCTGTCATTTTGCAAGATTTTCGCGAGGGGCCGTCACACGATTACTTGCGATGGTGACGACGGAATCGGCGGCGGCGGTGGATGACCCGCAGTTGGGAATTTCTCCAAAGGGACACGTCCAGTTCAACCTCATGACGGACGCGGACAACGTGGTGCTCATGAACGACGCAGGGGCCAACGAGAACAACCTGGAAGAAGGCGTTGTAGAAGGTAATGGTTCGCCGGCCGAGCTCACAGACCCCACCCAATTGGTTCTCCAAGCATGCGCCGTGCCGAAGGGGAAGTCGATGGACGGTACATCCTCCTCTATTCGAAGCTTTGTATCGTATAGTTCGTCAATGTGTTGTTGATTGTAGAAACGCTGCGCATGAACGAAGCGAAGGAGTACATGGTCAAGCAATTCGGCATGATCCAAGAACAAGTGGGGATGAACCCAAAGACGCTTCAATTCGACAGCTACATCCCATCGTCGGATCCTCCCGAGAAATTCGAAGTCGGGTACTTGAAATGGGCGCAGGAAGCGTCATTGGTGCGCATCCGTCTGTGTTTTGCGGTGGGGTTTGTGTTTTTGGCGGCATATTTGGCGTACGAAGTCCAAAACGACTTATTCACGGTGCGCACGGGGGTGCCGCGGACGAATCCTGCGTCGGCGATCAACCCCAAGATCTCGACGTTGTTGTACATTGTCACGTTTGGCGGTGGCTGCGGCGCGTTCGCTCTAGGGTACGCCGCCGCCGCGTCATCTCGTATTCATCGTGTGTATGGTGGTAGGTACATCTTGGTGCAGCAGCCGTGGGCCGCCAAGCACGTGGAAACGATCACGTTTTGGGTGTTTGCGGTCGTGGGGCTGAGCATGATCTTCAAGAAACCGCTTCAACAGCAAACCGGTCCCGTGCTGCCGCTGGTGATCCTGATCATTCCCATCTTTGGCATCACGCGCATGCGATTCCTGCACAGCTGCGTGCTTGCGTGGGGCATCTTTCTCGTGTACTTGACCGTGCAGCTCGTGAGCCTTCGCTTCATCCACGCGATCCCGGGCGTGTGGAAGTACGACAACGTGTCCGACATCCTCTACCAAACCGTCAACTATGGCATCGGAATCATCGGCGGCATGGTATCCCATTACCGCCAAGAGCTCACGCGGCGCCGCAACTATGCGCTCAAGCTGCCGTTCGCGGGGCCGGCGCTGGACGACGCGCCCGTCGACTTTTCCGCCCATTCTTACTGTGAAGAATCGCTGTTGGATCCGTGGACACTGGCGTTCCGCAATCTCGAGATTGAAGAGTACTTTTGCAAGGTATGGTACCTCATCGACCCGCATCCGTACGAGAACCCGAACCGCGGCGACATTCATGAACACGTGTACTGGACGATTCGGTATGCTGTGCTCGGGGTATGCCTCAGTCAGATCGTGCTGGGCCTCCAAGATGTCAAGCTGCTCCTGATGAAGCACTTCTACTTTGAGTACGGCATGGCGGCGATTATTCGGTTTGCGATCGTCGTGCCGTGCTACTTTGTCGCGTTTTACTTTTTGTACTTACTCGGGAAAAAGTATTGGCAAGTGTTTCTGCGACGTGGGATGAGCCAAATGGACCTGCATGAGGCCGTGGCCAAGGACGCGAGCCGCCGCCACACGATCAAAACGCAGTGGGTCGAGTCCAAGGGCGGGTACGTCCGGTCGGCCCAAGTGTTTTCAGTCGTTGTGGTCGCCATCCACGTGTGCAGCATGATGGTGCTGCTGCTCCAAGTTGGCCGCGCCTTCATGCACAACTACACGGACAAGCAGCCGAAACCGTCCAAGCCAAATGTGTACTTTATGGGGTTACTCAATGCCATCTTGTTTGCGCACAGGTCAGGGTTCAAGCTCCGATTTGTGTACGGGTTCCGGTCCACGTCTGTGCTCATCGTGCTGTTTATCTTTTTTGCGTCGCACAACTTGCATTTTGACCCGTGGGAGTACCTGTGGCTCGAGTACACGGGGTTCTTGATCTGCACCCAGGTGCTCGGCATGATGATCTCGCACGAAGAAGAGTCTCTGCGCCGCAACTTTTTCATCCTCAAGTCCATCCGCATCCTCGAGTTTGAAACGTGGTTTGCCGGCGTGCTCGTCATCCAGAAGCGCGTCCGACGGTTCCTTAAGCGCCATAAGTCGCGCAAGCAGCTGCTGCTCCAGACGTCGACGTCGGGCGGCGACGGGCCGACAAAGCCGCCGGTCGCGACCAAATCGGTGGCCCACGCGCAGGCGTTCCTGGCGCGGGCGTCGCTCCTGGGCTGCCGCGCACAAATGATTCAAATCGCGGTGGTCCTCTTTGACGTGATCTATTCCGCCTTGACCACGTAGTAAACACCCACTTTATACCACCGTATGCGTACTACTTACTCTTGTCAACGCCAACGTTTTGAGCTTTAACTAGTATGTATATATATATATATCTAGTATATACTATTGTCAAATCGATTCGAAACTGGAGGGTCGAATAAGTTAGGAGAATCAATTCAAGAACGGCCTGAGCCAATCAAATCACGTCATATGTCGAATTTCTGCTAATCCAAATGTTTGACCCCTCCGCATTGGGCAAAACCACATACATACTAAACGTTATATATAGTTCACCGGTTGCACAAGATTAAATAGGATAAAATAGATTCGAATGCTATTTGGCGCCATGACTCTCAAGTCCAAATTTGGATGAAATGCACATTAACCAGAAAAAGCAAGGTGAAATAGGCAATTTTGTATGGAGCACAAGGTGCCAAATAGCATTCGAATCTATTTGATCCTATTTAATCTTGTACACACTACGAGTACACTACCAGTACACTATATACAACGTTTACAGTTAGTATATATGTGGTTTTGCCCAATGCGGAGGTCAAACAGAAATTCGACATATGACGTGATTTGATTGGCTCAGGCGGTTCTTGAATCGATGGCTCCAGTTTCGAGTGTAAAGTGTTGTTTTGTGGTGATTGTAATCACACTAAATGAAGTCACACACTAATTAAACGTCGATGATGGATTCCTGCATTCGTATTTGGCTCAATTCTTCTGCCGATTATTCTTCTGTACATTTGGTTGTGTGAATTCATTCTCCATGTTGCTCCAGTTTACAACAAACTACGTAGTATTAGTACGTACTACTAGTAGTTATAATCACATAAAAATATTTTGCAAATGTTTTCTCGCCTTCCGTTTAAAAAGCGAGATTTATGTCAGAATATTACTTGTACTGTACTGCGTAACGTTAATGTTGGATTTTGTTGCTTGGGAGCGCCAATATAATTGGTAATAAACCAATTATATTGGCGCTCCCAATCAACAAAATCCAACTCTACTCAGTACAGTGTGTGTACGGCCACAACAACCTGGTGACGAGCATGACGAGTAATGAATGCAGTACAAGTGCTGAGGTGAGCTGCGGCATGTGCTGTACCTGTGCCCACTTGTACTGTTCTGCAATGCTAGACGAGACTGCATAGTATATGTTGCCGTTACTCATTGTAGATGTTCCAATATAGCTCCTATTCGTAGGTCTTCGTGGCGAGGCCTTGGACCCGGTGCATACCGCCACCGCCTCTGGCCAATTGCATGCACATCCTTATACATGAAAATCTGTATCGATAGCACGACATTTTTGATTGGACAGATTTATCCAATCGGTTTGCGCCAAACGATGAAAACATGGCAAAATCCTCACTAGCCAATCACGTAGAAGCACAAATAACGATGAAAACACGACCAAACGACGGTACTTGGAGGTGCCCAAATGTGCTGTACTGTACGATTTTGCTCGACCTGCATACATCGAACCTTCACAAGTGAAAATATCTTCAAGTTAAATAAGCGCAGTCTACAGCTACGGGCCGTGGAGACTCAGTCGTTTGTCGAGCAAGTGGTGGAGAAAATGACTGTCGTCATACCGACTTGCGCAAGGCGCTTGTAACGACAGGCTAGTAAACTGCGTCAGTGTAGCGTCCATGTCGTCTTCGACGCGACACAACTGCATGGAGGCCACGGCGTCAGACAGCTCGTCTGTTGGAGTCGGCTGCAGTTGGCAGTGGTCCATGAAGCGAGAGATGTCGGGGGGTGTCGTTGCCTGGGGGGTAAATATCTTGAATGGGTTTCGTGGGGTGGTCATAGCTGCGGTAGAGTAGCCAATCTGAAGTGGGGGTGGCCTTGCTCCCATAGACATGGACGTCAGTTCGACCATGAGGGAGTCCACGTCAACCCGCCGCCGTTTAGCCTTTGGATTCTCCACGACAGGTCTGCGCTGGGTCGGGGCAGGCTTGGTCACAGTGTGTTCGATCCTCCTAGCACTATTGTCGTTGGATTGGAACGTGCCAGACTGTGTAGAGAGCTTCGACGTGGAGAGTTGTGTTGATAGCCGTTGGCGTTGGAGTCGAGTCAAGTACCGAGGCTGTGGTTCAGGTAGTCCTGTCTGAAGGAGTACAACCTCTTGGTTTACGTGGATGTGGATGTTCACCGTGATGTTAATAGGAGCGTGGTTGTCGTCCTTGGAGTGCTGCTGCCGGAGCGCCGCCCGTGTCCGTGACCTTGTTCGCATCACCACCAAACCAATGACAAAGTCTCACCGGATAATATTATCCGGTAGATATGATCCGGTTACCCGGCAACGTTATTCGGCAAAATTTCTACGGTAAGTCACCAGCACCACAGCTTCGGTCCTTGACTCGACTCCAACGCCAACGGCTATCAACACAACTCTCCACGTCGAAGCTCTCTACACAGTCTGGCACGTTCCAACGACACTGAGATCCATCCCAAGACCTAGATCAGGGCTGCCTTGGGCCAACATCGCCAATGGGACGCCAAAGTCGTCACCGCCAGTTTAATGGCCCTTGGCTATTTTGAAATGGCACGTCAAAGACCACGAGCGGGCATTCAACCCAATCAGTTTTGTAGCCAATCATTGATTAGTATTGTCTTCAAATTATTTGATTGGATAATAACAATCATGTGTTGACAAAAGTCCTTTAAAATCCCTCGTCGTCTGTATACCCCCCCGCTTCAGTAGCTATGATTTCTCCAGTTGGGCCTTTCCTCGTAACTACCAAGCGCAGCACAAGGGTTTCTTCACACGAATGGATTAATTCGTAGAATGTCCTTTGAATACCATACTTGGTACTACATATTGTGTACCTAGTTGTCTCCAATTGGACAGAAATACCCAATCACCATGCATAAATATGTTTCATCCAATAAAATATAAGTCCTGTGATGGATTTAGCCACCACTTGGAACTGGACCGGATATTTACAGGGAATCATATGTCATTGACATTTTCATTGATATGCATTATATTTTAGACACTAGAGTACATTCTGAAGCGGGGATTATACGGCAACGTTAGTGTTAACTGCAATTCTGCAAATACCAGTAATAAATGGGAGATTTATTCATGCAAAAAACCACCGTTCCCCAGGTTATTCGTTTTTGAAGTTGGGTTTGCGCTTCTCCACGAACGCAGCCATGCCTTCCTTCTGGTCGTGGGTGGCAAAACTGCCGTAGAACAGGCGCGCTTCGTACTTGACGGACTCCTGCAGACTCATTTCGTACGACGCGTTCACAGCTTCCTTGGCCATGCGGGTAATCGGCTGCGAGTACGTGGCAATCTTGTTGGCCACGGCCAGCGCTTCGTCCTACTCGTCCTATTCATGAGAACGAACCAACGAAGATTCACCATGAACGTACGAGAAGGTTGGCGGCAGGCACGACCTTGGCCACGAGGCCGTCGCGCTCGGCTTGGTGGGCGTCGATCAAATCGCCCGTCAAGATCAAATGCATTGCTTTCGACTTGCCGATCGCGCGGATCAGCCGCTGGGTGCCGCCGCACCCAGGAATCGTGCCGAGCTTGATTTCCGGCTGGCCGAACTTAGCCGTGTCGCCCGCAATGATCATGTCGCACAACATGGCGAGTTCGCACCCGCCGCCCAACGCGAAGCCGTTCACGGCCGCAATCACTGGCTTTTGGATCTTAGCAATGTCGCCCCAGTTGGCAAACATGGTCGTGTTGTACACTTCAATGAACTCGCGCGTTGCCATCTCCTTGATGTCGGCGCCAGCTACCCAACGAGGCCGGCGCGTGGTGAGTATTAATCCTGAGATCGTCGTTTTGCAATGTACGTTCTTTCATACCTGCAAACGCTTTGTCGCTGCCGGTCACAATGATCGCGGAAATGTTGGGGTCCTTGTCGAAGTTCTTTGCTTCTGCATTCAGTTCGTTGATCAAGCCATCGCACAACGCGTTCAGTTGCTTGGGGCGGTTCAATGTAATGATTCCCACTTTGCCATTCACGTCCGTCTTGATGTACTCCAAGGTTTCTGCATTACGACGTACACATGAGTATGCACTCACGGTAAACTATATGTAGAAAAGGCTAGGCGGCGTACTGGAGCTGAAGTGACGGGCGGTGGCGGGAGCACGCGAGGCGAAGGATGCGAGTCGCAACATGAAGTCGAGTTTGCACTTTTCGAAGTGCGGTAGACGATGTTCAGTATAGGATTATCCGGATAATATATTTAACCGGATGTGATCACGATCTTCAACATGAAAGGGCAGTTAACAGTTGTGAAGTTATTTGAGTGGTAAGTTGCAAAATTTCGTGTGGAAACTATCAACATTGTACTGTAGTGTTAGCTTGATATCAACTCCCTTGCAGCTAGAAAATCGTGATTTTGCCCCCGGCATGTCCTATCCGTTGTCCTGCACTTCATCGACTAAATAGACTACCCCATCGTAAGTTAGCACATCTCCCGTTGCTGCCCCCAGCGCCTCGATCGCTTGTCGGCATTTGGCGGTCACCAACGGCACCAACGATTCCACCTACAAGCGCTATTGTCACAGCCACATCACTGTGGTGGTACTGTCTTACCCATGGCCCAAACACTTGCATGGTTGGCATGCTCGATGGCAATGGCAGCAGCATGCTGCTACACGCTTGGAGTTGCGTCCAGTATAATTCCAGCTCTTCGGGCACCAAGTCGCGTTGGGCATGGGTCCCCATCTTCAATTGACCCGCCACCACACCCAACGCATGTGAATACTCTATTGTACTGATTACAAATCCTTACCACCACGAGCGCTTCCCGCAGCACAACCATATCTGTCGCAGCTTCCCACAGATCAATCGCAGTGTGCAACGCCCCGGCGCCGTCGTGGCTCGCGTATTTCTCGAGCATGTTGAGTTTCAGATGGTACGGCATGCCAAGGCGAAGCCACACCTATCAAAGTGTGAGATTTCAACCAAGTCGGTCGTGGTCGTACCTCTTCAAGTCGACGCTGCAGCACCTCATGGCTGTCGACCATCGAATTGTTTTGGTGGTGTACCAAGATACTAGAGCGATGTGGACCTGGGGACTTGTCGCCTCGTGCAGGCGACGTGTTTGTGTCTTGGTTTGGTTGTTCGTTGGCGGCGGCTGCAACAGGGGGAGTTGCCTTGGTCGTAGGAGGGGGTGAAGGCTTGATGGGTTCCGGAGTCAGCCATTCCCACGAAATCGCCGTCATCTGCCGACGAAGCACGCGCTTTGTCGTGTGCTTCAATCCTGATGCCACCTCTCGAGGCCGGCCGATCACCATCCCGGACGCCACCGTCTACATGCATGTATCCACATGAGTTTGGGAAATGGCATGTTACGGGCTGCGTACGGGCTTTCGTCGGGCGTGCTTGTTTTGGCGGTCGTCGAGGATCGTACTTGGGCGTCTTTGCAGTGCCGGGGGCAATGCCGTGGAGTCTGGCACTGTAGTGTTGGCGGGGGTAGGTTGTTGCTGGCCCGAAACAGTGCTATTGACCACCCTGTGCAACGCAAAACTCGATATTATCATTCGATGGAGTGTCCATATATATATATATATGGGTCATTGTACGAGGTCGCGTCGTTGGCTAACTTGGCGAGTTTCCTTCGGCGGCGACCGATCGCGTCTTGCCATTGACAGTATTGGGCGGTGGTCGTGGCTTTGCGAGTGCTGAGCCGTTCGTCGCTGAAACATCTCGTAAGTCCATTTCAATATGTTATCCTGTACGTGTGTGTCCTTACGCTGGACGACTGTCGTTTGCATAGGAAGGTTGGGTCGATGACTGGAGAGTCGCAGCGTTCGATTTTGCATTAGAACGTCTAAACCAGCATAAAGTACATGATTATAGTGTAAAGCCCATATCCCCCTGCGTTACCTTTCTCGCAGGTCGGCTGTGAACGGGGCCAGGCGGCTCCAAAGCTGCGGAAACGAAGGGGGCGTGGCGGTGATATCTGCTAGTTGGGCGGTCGCTCGACGGCGTAGCGACGCACTGCACCGTGCGCCAATCTGCCCAAACAGGTCCACTTGGTCCTATCCATTTGTCATTGACGTTGCAGCCACGTCAGGAGCAAGTTGTGGAGCCACGAACAACGCACGCACCTTCCATTCATCGACTGCGTTGTCCGGTTTCGCTGCCATGTCCTGCCCTGGTCGAAACGCCGTCTTGGAGCGCTTTTTAAGCAGTTTCGCGACAGCGTCTGTAGCACGTAGCGAAGCCACCACCGACACAATCTCAGGATGCCGCGCCATGGCCACATGCCTTGGATCATTATCCGACTGCGAGGCTCGCCCAGGTGGTGGGGGGTTGTTGGAGGACGCAACTGGTGGGGTGGCTACATCCGCAGCCGCAGTGTGCGACGCCCCTGTATTCGAAGGGGTATTGTTGGACGGCGTCGCAACGGTGATGGAGCCACTGCGCACCGATTTCCGCCGTTCCAGGAGCGGTTCAGACGTGGATTTGGCCATGGAATGGGATCGCAGCAGACGTTGCAGCTTCTTCGACCCCCTTAGTTCTTGAATAGGGGGCTCCGCATCTTGGAGGAGCGTGCCCAACACGTGAACTGGGGCGGTTGCTGACGACGGCTTTTGTCCAAACGACCCGGCAAACAGCCTACCCACAACAAGCACTCATATTTGACAGGAGTTCATGAACAAATCAGGACGCACGGCTGACGTTCTTGGTCGAACTCTTGCAACACTTGGGTTTTGAGAAGATCAAGGTTGCACTGGCGTTGGAGGTCCACGAGGTACATGGCTTGCACCCGGCGAGTGTTGATGGCGGGATCGAACACACCCTGCACAATCATATACCCCGTTGTGAAAGCAGCTTGTAGATAGAAGATACATCCACGACGTACTTGGTCGTCGAGCTGTTGTTTCTTTCGACGGTACTTGTCTTCCACGGCGTCTGTAATGCGTTCCACCCGCGTCTGAATGCGATTCATTACCTCTTCTCGCTCCTCCATGGACAGCCGTTCAAACGATGCGTCGAGGGGATCGTACAGCAAGGACGATTTGTTGGTACATTGCCACTTGGACTCGAACGCCATCATCTTGTTGCGCAAAATCACGTCGGGGAGGTGCTTCTTGGCCGACTCGCGCGAGGGCGTCGCGGCCGACGTAAAGAGAAAGCCTGACCTCGATAAGTTACCAAAATAATATTCCAATGGAATTATTATTACCGTCTTTGTTGGCCATGCGTTTGTGGGCTCTCTCGAACCGATCCTGGAGTTTGACTGGAACTCGAAGGGGTTCCAACTCCTGCGACGTCCGCGAGTCCGCGACAACGTGCTTCAACTCACTGCGCATCATCGTCGCGCTCGTTGTGGCCGTAACGGTTACACCGATGCCGTTACAAAGTTGTGGATCAAGCAGTTACGCACTATAACAGGCTGACACGGGCTGCTTCGAGTCATGGTTCACTTGACACTACCATCTTCTACACCTCGACCTCGACCTCGACCTTGGGGCCACTCTCGGCTATGTAGGTGGCGATATTAGGGGTTTTGGGGTTCAACTCCGGAGTACTACGTAGTACTAGCACTAAGGTATGCACAACAACATCATTCAAGCAGGGTTAATTATCCCTTGTGCTGTACCGGTAGAGAGATTTTTCAATTTTGGACAAGTAGTATCTGATGCAGGGAATAAATTGACAGCATCTTCACCGGTTCACTTCAAAACGAGCTTATGACAAAGAACGAAGTTTTACTTTACTGTACTACTGTATTCGTTCCTTAACGTTACCGGTAGTACTGTAGCCCATCTGCCTAAACTGTTTTCCAATTAGGAGATCCTCACTACCGGTAGTAGTCTGGATGCTACGATACACGGCCATTTTGCCAGGAATGAGCTTGAATGTTAAAAACATGTACTTCAAAGTAATTCTTCAAAAAACGTGCGTCTGGATGCCTCAGAAAGTAGGAACAATCGGTATCGGTTTGCCCATGTTATGACAGGAATATAATACAGTACTGTACCCCGGCATTAGGCGTATTTTTTTCTTGACACTTGTCCTCACTCTACATTTGATCTTAGAATTTTCTGAAAAAATTGGAGTCATCCAGACATTTCACAACGACCTTATTCTCCCATGGGCTATGCCGACCCGCCACTCCGGCCATCGCGACTTCCCCCGGACCCCGGGATACCACCTCCAGCGGCTTTAGCATCCCATTTTACCCTGGAGCCGACCAAAAGGTCGTTGTGATATTGATATTGAATTACACTGTAAAGTTAAAATCGCTCAGCGGACACTTAATGGTCTCGGCCGCGTACTAGCTGCAATAGCAGTTAGCGGACTTAACTACTTGAAAACCTATTTGTGTCGTCAGTTTTTATATTACGTAATACGTGACTTTGGGAACTAATGGAATACAGTACAGTAAGTTGTCAGGGAGTTTTTTGGCGGAATATCACTTGTGTTAGTATTAATAGTATTACTACGTATTAATAGTAGTACTACGTAGTGTTTGTTTGGGAATACTCCCAAATACGTTAAAGACCGATTTCATGCGTTTTATCACTGCAGTGGGAGGTTAAAGGTAAAGGCCCAACTGCCTCCGGATATTATATACGGATAATTGTCACATCCCTATGGCCAAATATCCAAGCGCCAATGTAAAATACCGCTAGGTTAACAGTAACGTTAAGGGCCAATTCATCACAGAATTTCTTCACCACATTTATTATTGAGATCTGTCGATTCTACGTTTCAATTTGCTGAAATTTTGAGTAATGAATATGAAATAGAAGTCAGAAAATTTTGTGAAAAGTTGGTAGTTTATAGATGACGTGCACCATACCGTGCGTTTGGGCAAAACGAATCTTTCGTTTTCAAATACTGGTCGGACTTAGCTCGTTCTTTTATTAACCGCTTCGTCTTGAATTAAAGATGATGAATCCCCAGTTTTAAGGGCTAAATATGAATGGTGATAAACTTATGTGCCTTCGCGACATGGGGAATCCAAGCATTTGCTTGGGTCGGATTGGCACGTATTGAAAATAAAATAGCTCGAAATTTTAAAAACTTGCAAGGAGAAAATCCACTACGGTAGTACTTGACTTTCAGTACTCCCGCTCGTATTATTATAAATTTTGGCCTGAGTGCAGAACTATTTTTTATTTAAATATCGCTGTTCTGAGTATATTAATTTGCTCAGAATGTATGGCAGGAGCGAAATTTGAAACAACGATATCTATTTTAATATCCCGTTGTATTGATTATAAAACCCCTCACCCGATGAACTGATTTCTCCTATATTCGTATATACCTTCAGATCTGAAAGGTGATACATGGGGGAAAAGTTATGGAAGAATTAACCAATACATTCGTTTTGCCCAAACGCACGGCACAGTACTACAGTGTTAAAATAGTACTTCGAAGTAAAATAGTACGTGGCGACTATGAATTGTACCAGTAGTGGAATGTTCGTTGGGAGTAATTGAACCACGTTGACATTACTCGTACCACGCCACGTGTCACACAGTAGGCCGAGAATCAACAAACTATATCCCACCCTCCATCGCAGCCAAGGTTTTGGTTTACGTGCCCCAAGCAGTAAAAAGTGCAGAATTCATATCAGCACAGTAGCCTTTTTGCGTACAGTACTACGTAGTATTAGTTCACAGCATCGTCAGTGGAACAGTTCATCAGCAACTACAGACTGTACGAGGTATACGTACATACTACTACGTAGTAGTACGGTATATACCTCGAGCTAGACGGGTTTGTGGAACCACGACATTCAGCGCACGGCGCAAGAAAGAGTTGAATGGGCGCATCATACGCCAACAACATACGGAAGTTGTGTGAATACTCAACATGTCATTGCCCCTGAAAGATTTTTGGTGAATTTCCTGGAACAGAACTCCAAAGGCACTAAAAAGTGCACCAAAGTTGAAGCACCACAATGGAGTACCAGTAATCTCGACACATACAGTAGTACCTTTAGTAGCTGCAGTGTTCTCCGTGGGCTGGAAGATTATACTACTGAAGGCAACCCAAGCACACAGAGATTCACGCATTGCTGCCCACGTTTAACGGATATTGGAGTAACTGACGCTGTAGCAGCGGCGCCCCTTCAAGTTTGCAGATGTTGTCAAGTGAAGGTATGACTACTGTAGGCCACCGCATGGATGACTGGAGTAAGCACGTCACTAAGCGAGTCCTTCCTTATGCATCTAACTGCATCCCTATGCTTTAGTAGCACGCAACTTGACAGTATCACACAGGTTCAAATGTCGTACTCCTTGTAATTGTACCCGCCGTACTGTTCACTACACTGCATTCATTGCATAGAACAACGAACGACGCTGTGACTGGACTCGACACAAAGTAACTTTTTCATTACGGCAATAAATAAGTACAACGCTACGTAGCAACCTGTGGAGCGCTATACATACATCGCGGGCGCAATGTCGTCGAGAACTTGGATCAAAAAGTCCATGCTTTCGGTGAACGACAGCGAGTCTTCTTCTTCAAACGAGCTCGGTGCGAATAGCGAGTGATGCACCGAGCATGGCGACGACCACACTGGAAGGGGCACGTTGTTGGTCATGAACGAGCTCGGAAACAGCGCCAGTTCGTCCGGGATTGCTGCTTTGTTTCGAAGGCCACGGTTGCGCCGCGCAAGCTTTTCTCTGTACTTTTGTGCATGGGTTTGGGTTTGTCGAATGGTGCGTGTTTTGATGATCGCGGCGATTTTCTTCCAAGGGCCGCTGGGGTACAACTCGACCGCGAGCAGAAAACGCTCGTGTTCTTCCTTGGTCCACGTGCCTTTGCCTTCCACGGGCATGGGGGCGTCGTGGCTGTCCGAGACGGAGCTGCGAGGGGACAAGTGCAACATGGTTAGCACGGTGCGGGTAAAATTCAAAAATGCGATGGTTCTGAAAACTCTCTGATTGATTTAGTATTATTATGGTGGTACGTAAAGTACTTTGTTGCCACGAGTTGAATACCAACTTGTTAACAGAGCGGTTGTCACGAGACGGTCCACTGCTTGCTTGTGTACATGTAGCAACTTTCGTCAAGCAGGATGTTGGTCGATTCATTTTATAGAGGTTTGATCGACGTAAACCCATACAAAACATTTGAGTATAACGTTGTCGACTACAAATGACACTCCATATAACAGAGGAAATTAATTACAAAAGGTTTTAGAGTGTAGTGATTGCTTAAACTGCGACTTGTGAAGATTCGACGACACATCCAGGCATGTATGCAGGTTAAAACGAAACAAAACCTCTAACGGCAAACCGGCATTCAGCCCGTCGTGGACATTCGAATTGATGAGAATCGAGACGACCAACATTCCCTCCTCTCATGTAAGCGCACAAAAGAGTAGTACAATCGACCCCAAAGATATTTTTTATTTGGAGCAATATAGACGATGCCACGCGCATGTGTTGAGCACGTTTCAAAGGAATAATTCCGGAGAGCAACAGCTCCACTATTGCTTACGTAATCATTTTCCTTCAAAAGAACCAATAGCCCTGTGACCTCGAAACCCCCAGACCCTCGTGATGCTATCGCAAACCACTGAAATGCACTCATCCCCCCCTTGCCTAGCTTGAATGTGTCGTTTTGGCTATCAGCCCTTGACGAGTACTATTAATAATAGTACAGTACTACAATACCAGTTATGAGAACAGTGATTACGTAAGCAGAGTGGTACTGTTAACAGAATTTCTGTTAACTGTACCCGCTCCGAGAAGTTTTCCAAATGACACGGGACTGCTGTGAACTTAGTTGTAGTCCACATTCATTTGCAGTAGAGCCTATCATACTCGTGTAAATTCGTAGTCTTAAGCCAATGGAATTGTACAATTACCACATATTTCGATTTACTGGATTGCTTTTGGTCCCTTCACATGAGAGAATCTCTCATTTGCAGATTGGGTGGAATAAAAATAGTGATTCTGAGTATTTTATTAGGCCTAACTTGAAGCTTGGGATGAGAAAATCTCTCATTTGCAGAATTGTAGTATACTTTAAGCAAGATCATTCGTAACTGCAACGCTGTAAGTACTGAAAGGTGATTCATGTAATTCCCGGCCAGCTTGGCCTACTTTCTGAATGCCATAACTCGTCACCCATTCATCCGATGAGGCTGCGAAAACATGCATTTTGAAGATCATGACGAGCTTTATAAATTTATGCAGGTCCCATCATTTGTATCGCAGGGTCAATTTGCTCGTCGAATTTCTTTGCGAATTTAATTCCCGGCCAGTAAGTCACTTGAATAATGTATGCCTGATTTGGGTGACAAAATCCTCAGAACCTCTTAATAAAATGATATGTATAAAGTATTCAAGTAATTATATTTTGAAGTGCTACTAATACTGTATAGAAACTGTATTATTGTCGATTTTCTTCAAATTTCCCAATTTTGCATGGTTCGTTCAATCGAGCACAACTAGAGCCGAGACAGCTGATTGGTCATTATCCACTTCGCCCTTTCCAGTAGAAACTCGAAAATGGATTGTAGCCAATCAGCGACAAGTAATTTCGGATTGACCAATGGGAGAGATTGGTGCTCGATTCGCTCGGCTAGATTTGATTGAACGGCATGTCGGACAAGTGTTCGTAATTTTGTCCAATCATCGTCCATGGATGATTTTGATTGGCCATTTGCTGGTTAGGAATTGCATGAATCACCTTACATTGACCAAAGCTTTTGCTCCCGTCCTAGCGGGTTAAAGTCGTGTGGTACTCTGGGAGTAACTACCTGAACTAACGAACATGCATGCGCAAACATGAATTGCATTCTTGTCATGGCCGATTGCGGTTGGTAAATTGCGTGTAATGTATACGTACAGTATGTACAGTGATACGAACTCTTCCTCAGACCATTCTCAAGGACTTGTTGATCAAACAAGTTTTCAAACATGCGAGTCGGCATCCCAACAGTTTACATGACAATGTGACACTGCGGCATCTTCATCGAGTTTGTCGAGGTTTTGTTCACCACCTTGCAAACGACGAGTCGGCACCCCGAAGGCAATGTCTTCGTCTTCGTCGGGTTCACCCACGTCATCACCGTCTTCATGACTTTGGTGGTGAGCCACGTGTTCCAATAAGTGGTTCATGTTGATCCCGATGGACTGCAACGCATAGCGCGAGACGAGCAATGAGTCGCTGCGGCTGATTACGTAACATATTTGCACACCTGGTAGGTTAACAGGTCCAGCTGCAGTGCTCAGACGGATGCGCAGGTTTGCCGCCACGTCCGCATACACCGGCTATTCGCCCACGACGTAACCCTTTCAGGTCTTCGCCAGTTGAACCACGTCAACTTCTGTCTTTGTCTTCAATGCTTCCAGCATTTCTTCAGAAATGATGTTCGCATCACTTCCAGAGTCGGCACAAAACGGTACATCCAGTACGCCGTTGAGGGTTGCCATGTTCACGGCATCGTCGGGCATGTAGATGCGGTAGAACTTCTTGCCCATCTTCTTTCGCATCTGCGCTGTCTTCTTCGCGTACTTCTGGAATTTAGGGTTGCGCAGGTAGCCACACATTCGCCAACCCCACACCCACTTGATTCGGTCAATGCCGTCTTGGTCGATGTCGGGGCAGTCCTTCAAATGATGCAGGCGCTCAAGGTCACCGCAAAACAGGCACTGCACCGGGTGTGCAATTCGACCGTCTAGAATGGG